TCTGTGAAAAATAGGTTCAAAAGTTAGGTTTTTTTAGATTTATCAGCTTTTTGCACAGAGAAATTTTCCTAGAAGATTTAACTGCAAAATTTCGAAAAATATGTGAGAAGATGCAAAATTTTCCGCTGAATCTTCTGATGTTTTCAAAAATCTTATGGAGTCTATTTTTGGATCAAGGTAAATGTTTTTCTATTTTCAGTGTGCCACAGTTCGACAACTTAGCACTCTTCAATATTTTGAATGGTGCTCAAACGAGAAAAATGCTCTCAGAGATTCAAATAGTAGGTTTTGTAGAGCTTGAAATCCTCTATCTTTTGGTATGTAAAGGAACTTCTAATTTGAAGAGGAAGTACGAAAAAAATGCGATAACATTTAGTCCAGTTTATTATGGCACACCCGTTAGTCGTCACATTTAATGCAAATCTCACGATTTTCCTTCATATCTAATATTCTGCAACATTCCTTGTTTCTTTTTCATTCCAATGATCAAATATTTTTCTGGTAATAGACACAAAACAAACTATTAATCAGTTGAAAAATTCTTGAGAGAATTTTCAGTACATAAAACGTTAAAAAGACATGGTTATGTCTACATTTAACTACGTAATTAGTTTTATTTTGAAGCTATTAACACGGTTTTACTGTGTCACACTGAGCCAGAACCTGTCGGAATCATTTTCACTAAATAATATCGGATACTTCTAATAAACTAAATGGGAGAAATGAATTTCTCACTTTTGGTTGTAATAGGTCATTTCCGTCGGTCAATTTCTGAAGATGATTTGTCGAATTTTGTGTTGATGGTTGCTGTTGTGTACGTATCATATTCCCTCATCGCTGAATCATTAATGTGTAATTTGATTCTAAAATGAAAAAATCCTTTTCGTTTGCCTATGAAAAAGTAAAGAAGAACTTTTATGTTAAAAATGAAACATATGCATCACAGTAGTACTTTTCAGAGATCGGCACGGACTGGGCTGGGTCAGAAAGCTTTTAAGATCGGTTGAGCCGGGTCGGACTCGGACCCCAAGTTTTATTTGTCGGATCGCGCCATGCCGAGGACTTCTCTTTCTTTCCAAGAGCATATGGTTAAATACATCAATAAAACCGTTGTATTTAGTACAAACACGTTCGTGATGAATATTATAATATTTCTTTTTCTAATATGTAGCTAAATAAACAGGCTATCTAGTGCCTACGATTAGAAAAAACCCCTGGAAATTTAAACGATAGAGTTGTGTTAGAAGCACATTTATAGCAACTTGTCAAAACAAGCCTATTAGCGTTAAAGATGCAAGAGACTGTGAACAACTGAAAAAGGTCGGGCTGGACTCGAATCTGCACTTTTTGTCCTTGGACAGGGTCATAAAATTTGTAACACCGGTCGGATCGGGCTGGATTCAGGCCTCAAGTATCCCTTATCGGACTGGGCCGAGCTAGAAAATTTTTGGCCCGTGCCAATCTCTGGTACTTTTTTCAATCTGGTATCTAGCAAAGAGTGTCTTCTCTTCGGACAATATATCTTTGAGCTTTATGACGGGTCATTAATAAAAAACAACAACTATGATCTATTACGATGACATGACAAAAATCTTGATCATCTAGCTTCAAAACGTAGAACCTTACCTTTGAAGTTATGGCAGAAGGTCACTAATCGTAAGTTATAAAGCCAAATTCCAGTGCTATGATAAAAAATAAAGATATTGATCTGAAACAGTTTAAAAAAAGACGTAAAATAAAGTGTCCTAGTTTAAAAATCTCACGTAATGATACTGGGATAAAATATGTACAACTCGATGAACGTCTCATTCATGGCCATCCACGTTCGATTTTTTTCTACTTACCATGAATACCGTTAGCCCACGATATTCTTCTAAAAACTTAAAACTATACACTTTACATGGTCACATACTACCATCTTGAAATAGAACGCGGTAAACTAACAAAAATTACATTTGTATTCGCCTTTTTCTGTATACTGCGTGTCGGTTGCATAATAGTGTTTTTTCTTTAATCATTAATGAAACAAGTCCAGATAATGTGAACTTTAAACTAACAATATTCGATTTCCTCTCTATTTTCTATTCTTTTAAACAAACAATAATCACTTGGTTATCTACTTTCTTTTACGAAATTGCTGCGATTTCGTCGTATTGACTGGTCACATTTGCTTCGAAACTCTTTTATTCAATAAATAGAATTCACTAGTTTGACTGGACAATAAAGGACCAAGGTGGCTCATTCCAAAATCTTAGCTATGCTCAGCTGGGAAAAAGCAAGTTGAAAATTTACTTCTTATTCTTTAAAAAAGTATTTCGCAAAAAGTTAGAGCATTAATTTTACTCTTTCTGTTATTCAGAGCACCAACGAAAAGCCCACTGTAATTTCAACTATCATTGAAGAAGCTATTGTAGAACATTTTGTTAATCATATCGTAAAGCATATTCTCCTAAAAAATGTAGGCTTTCTCACTTTTATTTGGCGGCTGAGGGAGAGAGATTAGTGAGTATTAAATGCCAAAACCATCATGGAAACGCATGTAACATTCCATCGAAAGAGAGATAGACAGAGAGAAGTGTTTATTCAAATAATTTGCAGTGATAATTATTTTAATTTTGATTAATTGTCTCATCAATAATCAATATTCCGTCTGCACAAATATTATTTTTTGTTTTCGTCCATATTTTACTTCAACGTATTCTTTGGAAACCAATTGAAAACAGTGAACATGTATAGTCTACTTTTAATTTAAATCAATATTACATAGTTCATGCATGATCAAATTTATCTTCAACAGTGAAATCTACAGTCGACAACTCAAAGTGCATAATAGATGTCAGATAAACCGCAGATACACTTCACCAATAAAAAATATATTATTAATGGTACATATATACTACGACGGTAGTATATTATATACATAAAATGAAAAATGTTTATGTCAAGTCAAATGTATTTATTGTCTTCGGTACTTCATGGGTCGGTTTACAATCAAAAATTATTGATAATGTCATACTTCTAGTAATGTACTCATACCGTACTCAGGAAATACTCATTCACGTTTTTATTTTGAAAAATGTACCTATATAAGATACACAGCAAAATTTTTTCGCTAGTATTTCTGTCACAAGCAGAGATGCGCTCGTCTATGATCAGACTCACAGCCAAACCTTGAGTATCTGACGATATTTCCTTAAAAGAATGAGAAACGATAAAGTATACAAAAATACTACAGTATTATGTAAAATCTCATTTGAATACTCAAGAAATTCTCATATGAGTACTCATAAGTACTCGTTTTTTACAAACATAAGTACTCATTTTTCTCTATGAGTACTTATGTTTGAGTACATTGAGTAGGAGTAGGAGCATCAGTTTATGTCTACTCATTATCTTCAGCCGCCGTTTATGGTGCCAACCCATTTCAATTTTCACTCTGCACTCATGGTAGAACTCACGTCAACCTCGCAATGAGAGTTGCAAAATAAGATGCGGTTTTCGCGTTTTTATCGCAGCGGGTCTTATCAGAACTCTTGGGCTCGTGATGCAATCCCTTAGAATTCTAGGCAAACTGTTTGAATCGTGCCATGATCCTAGCTTAATCGTTATCCTTATAGCGATTCTAGAGTAGAATAGCTATTTCGCGATGCGCCTCCGTGATTGCGAAGCGACAGGCGCGAAATTATAGCGATTAAGGACCCGACAGCGAGGACACGCCACGAGTTCAGCGTGAAAGCTGACTTGGGAATGCTAGTTTTCTTAAGTCATCATTTGTTTGTATTGTTGATGTTTCTACTAGTTCTCTGAACTCATCTGTCGTTTTCGTTAATTTTACATTTTCAGCATTTTTAAACTATATTCAATGAGTATTTACGATGTGACGACAACAACTTGTCTCACAATTAACACATTGTCTTCCACTTCTTGCTCCATCCAATTGTCAAATTAACACTGAATAGGCACTTGTGGCATTGGCCTATGAAGAATGAGTTTTCAGCTACCATAAATGATACTTTGTATTGAACAACATCATTTTCTCATTGATACGATTCAATGTCACGTTTCAAGACAGACGCTAAATTGTATTAGTGGTTGTTTCACAAATATTGTTAGATATTAGTAATCATTTTGAATTTATCTTTGTTCAAACCGACCCATGATGTTCATTTGAGATTACACATACACATCTTTACTTAATTAAATTAAATATGATTAATCGTATTGCACAAAATGAATAATTTAGTCAATTGAGAAAGAAATATAAGAAAAAATGTTTGTTCATATGTTTAATGTAACGGTTCTTGATTCTCGAAATATCGTTGGTAATAAATCAGCCATTGAATAAAATGTTTGTTCAAGAAGACTCTAAATAATAAGGGCAATTCGTTATCAAATAAACTAACATATGAAAGTGATTTAATTACCTTAGGTACAATCAATTGAATTGTAGTACATTTGTTTGTTCCCCAAGTTGCCATTTCCATCATAAAACCTTTCAGACATTTTAAAACCAATTCAGTACGTTTCATAACCCATGCGATGGTCATTTCCTGTAAAATAAAGACAGCAATGTAAAGCAGAAAGATTAAGATTAATAAATATCAAAAATTTACCTCCGTCATTTCATGGGTGAGTAAAATGGGTAATGTTAATGTTGTTACATCATGTCTACAGCAAGCTTTTAATATATTTCTCAGACCTAGTATTGTAGGATGTCTGGAAGTAATATCCGATGATTTTAAACTATCATCAACAACTAGATGTAATGCTAAATGAATTTCGGATAAGTTCGAATGCTTTGTGACATAAAAATCACCAACACTACACAGTTTACGATCCTACAAACAAAAAAATAAACAACAAACAATTATACACTTTATACATGGAACAACTAACTACCCGTACACAATTCTTTTTACAAAATGCATTGTCTATCGAAACTAGGCACTCTTAACAAAAATGAATTGATCAAAGAAAGAACCGCTAAAATATAATGAAAACTTTGTATAATTGTATACTGAAACAACTAATCTTATCAGCAACAGAGAACCACCATAGATTAAAAATAATCATTGTATACTCTAATTATCTTTGAGGAAGAGTTGAACTTCTTTAAACTAACAAAAACAGTAAAGTGATTTATTCATACTTCATCGCTTGCACTATGTTTACTATTGATCGATTGTAAATCAGCATTTGAATTTGATTGACTTATTTGAGCCGATGATGATGATGTGACAGTTCTTTGTTGATTTGCTTGTTCAATGCAATCGTCAATCGTTGCCATTTGTTGTTCATATGAAGGAAAATGGAAATCAGTCGATCGTTCGCAAACAGAGCCAAATTCTTGAAATAAAGAAATAAAACTATTTCACAAATGTGTTTGCATTATTTCAGCTTTGTAACAGTCCCTCAAGTTTTGATTGAAACGTACCACACATATTGAATAATTAAATTACCTTCTTTCATATCTGCTTTTAACAAACTTCTCTTCTGCACTAATAAAACGACTCCAGATAAGGAATTCGAAAATAATGACATTAATGTTTGTAAACGTTGAGGCTCGAAAAATACTTGATTTCTAAACAGATGCAAGGAAGGTAAAGAAAAAGTTCTCACGATACTACTGTTCATTAATATACCCCTTTTTATATGTTTTTAAACGGCAGAATTCTAATATATCACACCGAATTAAACGTAAATTGTGCATTGACTTTAACTGCGCACCTATAAAAAGGAAAATATGGAATAAGGGTGAACGATTTGACAACAGCAATTTAATCACCTAATTGTACGGTATAACTTGTTTCTAAACGTCGAGTTGTTGATTCATCTACGGATAATACCAGAGAATTTGTATTCCGTTTACGACGTCTAAAACAAGTGCAACGAAATATGATTGTTCTTATCGTTAACAGTAAACTAAGCGACAAAGAAAGTAAAATGACGAAGTAAATCGTCATCACAACTTCCAAACTAGTGCGTCTGATAAACCAGAATTCCCGATTAGCTTTGAGAGTTGAAGGAGCTTTTGTTTGGCAGAAAACAGGGCCGAAAATTTGAGCACAAAGTCACTTTTTATCCACGTCAGCAAGTCTCCAAAAGGTCTTTAAAGAAAGTAAAGAAGAATTTTTTCCACAGAAAGTCACGAAATTTAGGAGAAAAAGCACTCTCCTAATCGGGAAGCCTGTGATAGGCTTACATTTTATTAGCTTGTAAACTCTGATTAAGTTGATTTTGTAATGATAATTGCATAACATAGTTTTTGAATTCTTGTTTCTGACGTTCTTTCACTGATATTATTTCACTATTCCATTTACCTTCGACTAACTACAATGGAAAAGAGGATCTATTAAACAAATGTGTGTACTACAGAAATTAATAGTAGAACTGATCATATAACCTTGGCACCAACTCGTTTCAACTCGGATACTGACTTTCTGCTACATACCTGTTTATCTTCCATATGTTTTTGTGCTACATTTCGAACATATACATCTGGATATTTGTTTGTTGGCTCATTAACAACATCTTGCATTTCACGAGAATGTCTACAAAAACCAAAAGAAAGATAGAGCGCTAAGAAAGGACATAAGGTAACAACTGTTTGTAGCACAGCTCATTTTCAATTAAATCTTTCAAAATTATTCGTACTTGTATCTGTAATCTATTATGTATTTCTAATGTCATCTACTCAGATTTAGGTTAATACTAACATAAGCGAATGAAGAATGGTCAAATAATACGTACTTTGTATCTAATTCTTGTATTTGTTTATCTCTATCATTTAACAAATCTTTAATTTCATCTTGGTACTTTACTTCTAAGAGCAACAAATCTTCGTAACGATCTGTGAGCAAAACAGAATGATATATGTTCGAAAATAAATCTTCATCAGTAACCGGTTGAATACGAGTATAAGATTTACATTCCTTGAAGAAAAAAACAAGTATTAGTTTCGATAATCAGGTAGATATTAAAGATAGATACTTGGAATGTTTTTAACCATTGATCTATTAAACCATCTTGTTCTAATTGTCCATTCTGTATCGGTTCAACATATGCCCGAATTTCTTCATCGAGATAGACCTGAGTTTGCTCAGAAAAAAATTGACGCAATGATTCGCGTAGCTCTATAGAAATAAAAAAATACAGACATTCCATGAACTAGAAGCTAAAACGTTAAATATACTTACTTACGAGGTAGAACGTAAACTGGCAAATTCCATTTTTCTAACAGACGATATGAATGTTCATGTAATGATATTTCGTTTGGAATAAGAAATGTTGTCGTTTTTACTTGCGTGTCGCCTAAACCTGCTATCGATGAACTATCGAAAGTAAAAGAAACTGTTTTCATTCTAAAATAAATAACACGGCATTTTTTCACTTCTTGCTAATAATAACGAAAAATGTGAAGAGTTAAAACGCAGTTTTTACCTACGAAGATGTCGTAGTGGTGGTTCAACATTTTTTACAAAACTTCTTTTCTCTCGAATTTTCCGTAAAAAATATGGGTCTTCTCTTTCCAGCTATCAATATTTTTGTTTCCCGAAATAGGAAAGCCGTAAACTAAAAGATGTAATCCATCTCTCTGAGCAGAAACATAAATAAAATCGAACACCTGTCACTTAAGAAACCAAGTAATCTTCGCAGAATCAACATTTCGCCAAAAATAAAGATGTATATGTTTTTTCGAGTAGTATGACTGCATTTTGCAAAATAAGATAGCGTTATCTTACAAAAAACAACTAAACAGTTGCAGCAACGATATAGGAGAAGTGATGCTACAACTAGTGACGCTGCAAAGAAGAATATATGTTTCTGGAGGTCTGATGGTTAAAATCATACTTTACAGAATTGGAGACGTGTGGAACCAATCTTACTACCATTTCAATAAGTATAAGGCGTAAGACATGAAGTCGGTAGTAGTCGAATGCTTAATAAGAGTCAGAAGAGTATGACGCTACAGCAGAGATTTAGGTAATTGAATTTAATGGCTTTTGTTTAATTGCATCGCCATTATTTAGATTTTCTCCGTTGTACGTCGTCCTCATCCATCCTTTGAAAGATGTTTGTTCATTCTCCAGCCTTACGCGAAATGACTGATTTCGGCGACACCTATGTACGTAAGAAGAAAGGATTTTCCTGTCCATGCTATAAGAAGTTTTCAAATGTCGAGCATAGAATGTTTATTCGTACTCACAGATTACTGAATACAGTTTTTTAACGTTACACCTCTGAAGAGTTCCAATATACTGTGAAATGCTCCATTTTTCTCAAGCATCAAAGGTAAAAGGGAGTAAACGAACAAACAATTTTGTGTTAATTAATTTCCGTGTCTCAGGTATGTGATCAAATGGTAATGATGTGCTTATTTTGTGCATTTTTTTCTTTTCTAGCAAAGCAAACTCGTTCGATGAAAGTGTCAAAGTTTGACAAAAAACAAAATGTGATTTGATCTCTTAGTTTCGTTTTTTTCGGGGTAGATGGAATTACAGAGATGTTTACCGTTATTTCTCCGTCTGTAATATAGCATGTGTGCCCCTTCATCCTAATTGTGAAATTTGTCTGTTTGCTGATGATGTTTCTTAATTTAAGAAACAGGAACAATTAAGATTCTTAATTGTTCCGCGCTCTTCTAATCCGCACGACTTTTCTCATGCACCAAATAGCTCGTACTTGGTCACGCAAGCCAGGCGTATGGAGTCATGTCTTTGGATTTCTACCATCAGAAGCTTGTTCCCAAATTTATCTGTCTTCTATTCTTCCGAAGTTTGACTATTCCTGTGTCCTTTGTGATAGTTCGTTTTCTCTTACTATTTCTCAATTTTTTTATGTGGTTCAACATCCTCACTGTTCTTCTTTGCGCTGTATTCATTCTATGTATGTTCCCATTCTTTCACGTGTTAACAATTTCTCTTCTGAAACAGTACATTCTTCTTTCTTTTGGTTCATAGTCACTGCAATAATTCCTAAATCCATTATCTATTGTCTTTCGAAAAGCTTTCTAAATTCCTATTTTCTTAACGGTAAAGTCGACTTTATACAAGTATTTCTAGCCTTCTCATTTATTTATGTTTTTTTTACATTATTCATTTTATATAGTCATTTTATATAGTTCTTTTTCTTTTTCATTCTTTCTCAATTAGCATGCCGTTTTTTATTTGTTTATTGTGTGGCGAGCGTGATCGCGTTACAGGTCGAAGACCTTTTATGATCTCTCACTTTACGTGAATAAATTCATTCATTCATTTTTCCATTAATATAGCATGTGGAATATCTCATGCTGTTCATGTACAAAATTCTGTTTTCATTTTATCCAGATTCGAAATTTTCATGAAAAGAATTTGTGCTATTGTAAGACCGATAGTGGAACGGAATGAATACCCTTTTTAAATGATTATACCACCCTTTTTTTCCTGAGGCTGTCAGATAAGTGAATGGTTGTGATCTCTTCTGATTAGTTGATCGCTCTGCCCGTTATATTTAACAAAAACTGCTTGTGTCCGATTTGGTTTTGACCAAATGCTGCAAAGATTCATCTGTATTTTAGCCCTTCGTATAAGAAACCTGTTTTTCTATGTTTCTTGCTTCTACGAATATAACTTTTTGCGATTGTTGGTTACAAGCCTCAATTATTAATTTTTTTACAAGTCAGATATTACGAAAGCTATGGAAAATAATTATTACAATATTTTCTGTGTTTTCGGTTGCCGAAGAAAGTCCACATACGTTCTGCATTAACTATATCGATGAGAAAATACCATATTCTATGTACTTTTATCATTATTTTGTTTACAAATTGAATTTGTATTTTTTCAATATGGTGCGTACAAATGAGAGATAATATGTGTGTGAAGTCTTTAAGTTTCCTCATTTGAATATGAAAAAGATTACTCTAAAGTTATTTCTCTACTTCGTTTAGTTGGTTATGTTAACTGACATCTCGAAGTTTTTTTCGTAAGAAATGAGATAAACAAGTGGCTTCTCTATATGTAGAATAGCGTTATGATGTCGAATTGTGAAGTTAATAAGAGAAGCGATACTGAGTTAAAGAAAAGTTTTCTGAGTTATGTCAGTTTTGATGAGTACGCAAACTAATAAAACAATTAGTATTTTGCTTATTATGAGGAGAGAAGTTGAAATTTCTCTCCTATCGCTGCTCGTACCTACGGGTAGATTCTGAACCTCTAATGGTTAATTCCTGCAGAATTTTAGTTTATCAATCGTCAGAGTACTCGAGAATTTGGGAACTACTCTAGAATTCCTAATGTCGCTTCAAAGATGAGAAAGACGAAATAATTTTTCTGAAGAAATCACAATTCCAGAACTACAGATCAAGTCCGCTCGAAAATCACGAATCCTAGGTAGATGAATTTTCACGTGAGTAGCAAATTTTCTTTATCTATTGTTATTGCGAAATTCTGATGTGTCTAGTATCAGAAAAACTAACCCTATACTTATCCCTTTATAACTCTGAGTTAGATTGTTGTCTCAGGTAGAGGCGCAGCAGTGTTTTCGATATTAGTTTTGGTGGGGCGTGGCAAGCCTGCTGAGTAACTAAAGTTTTTTTTATTGAGTAACGCATTTTTTGACTAAAAGTTTTTTTCTGACTAAATCGATTACTCAGAAAAAAATGTTAGTCACCCAGATATTCAGGTGCATAAGAGCGAGTTTCTCAGCAATAAATGAGTTACTCAGAAGCTAGAGAAAATCACTTACTCAGATGCATAAAAGGCAGTTTTTCAACTTAAATTTCTTAAAAAATTTCTGAGTAAGTCAAAATTTTTTGAGTAACTGTATCCAAATGAGAGGATGGTTTACCACCTCTAATCAATAACGCTGAGGCGTAGAATATATTCGTCTGCTTTGACAGCTGTTGAGGAAAAATTTTCGATTCGGGCAAAGTTTTCAGAAAAAATTTGAAAAATAGAATTTTTACTGAAAAAGTAATTGCAGAAGAAAGTATTTTAAAACTACTAGAGATCCTTTTTAGAAATTGTTGCATCAGAGAAAGATTTCCATTCTTACAGGTACATCTGCATCTCTGATCTCAAGCTTGCAGCATATTAGCTTTATCTAACCCAATATGCCATCTTGCCTCGCCATCTTACTCGTTTGATGCCATCTTACTCGCGTCTGAAATGTTGATAGGGGAATGTTGAGAAGATACGAATTTTTTAAAGTTTGTTACCTTACGCTAAAAAAAACCCTATTTCTTTTACTTTCAAAACCTTTTTCTCTTTCATTCAATACTTGATAAACTTTTGAAACAGTCAGTCTTGTAGGGTAAAGATTTCTCTACTAAATGAGATGTCTCCCCGCTCTTCACCATGTTTTCTGATAGAGTTTTGATCATTATGCTGGTTGCCTTTGAAAAATTCACATTTGTTATATAACGTCCAGAATAACTCTATCAGAAAACATGGTGAAGAGCTGGGAGACATCTCATTTAGTAGAGAAATCTTTACCCTACAAGACTGACTGTTTCAAAAGTTTATCAAGTATTGAATGAAAGAGAAAAAGGTTTTGAAAGTAAAAGAAATAGGGTTTTTTTTTAGCGTAAGGTAACAAACTTTAAAAAATTCGTATCTCCACAACGAAAGGCCTTGGAGAACTGGGAGTGATCTTATTTTGTAGAAGACACTTTACTCTATAAAGCACAATATTTAACTCAAAAATAAAAAAGCTTCTAAAAAAGAGGGGTTACCTTTAACTTTCTCTGACGATGCACATTAGGATTCGACAATATATATGTCTCTAGATTAGATCTTAATTTAAGCCTAATCTTGGATCTCTAGAGCTCAAAATAGAGGAGAAATCTTTTAAATAGGAACAGATTTAAGTTAAAAAAGCGATTTTGAGTAAAACGTGAAACAAGCGTAAAAAATTATTCTTCTATCTTCAGAGCTTTTAGAAAAACCTCTCAAATCCCTCAAAAAACGACTTAAAACTAAAAATCTATAGTGTATTCGACAGCAGACAGTTTGGTCTGTTCAAACATGTCAGTAGAGACACATGCTCTATATCTCGTTTTGAATGAAAATATATCCCGATCGGGATGTAGTCAAAAAACATAGCCCAATCGGAATATAAATTCAATTTTTTGAAATAAAATTCATTAGCGAAAAAATGATGATTTTAGCGGACTGTTGTTTTTGTATGAATGTTGCGTCAAAATAATAAAACTAGAGATCAACTGTACTGGATAGAGAATACAGAGTCGACTGAGTGAAACGATAATCAGAGAAAGTGTACTAACATTCACACGAGATTTGCACATTATACAGAGCATAGAGAACGAATTCGATAATGTTATAGACAGTCATTGATTAACTGACTTCTTATTCTTACTCTTTAAACTATACACTACATGTTATACAGTGTGATAGTTGATGATTGATTATATCATCAAAGACTAGTACATATATATATACTATGTAGCATTATGGTTAGTAATTAATTTATAGAGAAAAACGGTTAAGTTTTTGAAAATATTTACTCGTCTTTTGAAACCTGTTGTAGGTAACAAAGTTCCGTATGGACTCAAAATTTTGAGTCCAGTTCATGGATTAAAAAGTAGTCCATTCCAGTCCACAACACAAAAACATGTTTTTTTACTAATTATTCCTCGATTCAAGTGAATCCAAAACTTTTTTTCGAGTCCAGATCAGTCCATGGTCTTTAAAGTTTGAGTCAAGTTCAGTCCAAGTCCATAAGCTCAAAAAATTTTTAGTCCAGTCCATACGGCGTTTTGGTAGGTAAATTAAAACGTATGTCGAAAAACGTTCTAATTGTTCATTGGTAGCTCTTAAATATTCATTCGATCTCATTTTCTAAATCTGTACTATAAGACAATGAAAAGCGAATATCTGACTTCAGAGAGAAAACATGTGTAACGTCTTCATGGTGAGGTTTTTGGTTTTCACTCAATTCACCTGGTTTGTGGTGATCGTTTGTTAGCAGAGATGTTTTGACGGTAGTTTTTTTATTATAACTACCGCTTACGATTATACCATTTGTAGAATGTATCGAATCGACTTTTATGTTTTGGTTTTAAAGGAAAACGTAGTGTTGAAGACAATGATCTTTTACTTTTATCTATGATTTATCAAATTGAGTTTTCCAGCCTCTGCTCCAGATAAATGATCATAGAAACGATAGATATTTGAATAATTAATATCATAGCCATGATCAAACAAATTAGACTATTTATTTGCATCTAGAGCATACGTATTAATAAAATAAAATAATTTGTTTCTAATAGATAGAAATTACGTTTTTTTTATTTTATTATTACTGTCACGCTTGATTGACTTTTTGTCAGACTGTAACGCTATATGTTATGTCGCTCACAGGGATTAACAACAGCATCCAAGAATTATGTTAAAAAATATCTTATATTTGTTTGATTATTGTTGGTTAGTATCACTGCATTGAAAAATTCCAGCTAGAACTGGCATTGTTTATTTTTCATATGTTGTTCTTTCTTTCTTTTGTTTTCTTCACGAATTATTTCATAAAAGTAGAAAGAAAGAGAGAAAGAGAGAGAGAGGGAGAGGGAGCGAGAGAGAGAGAAAGAGAGAGCATCTATGTGGAATTCTTGTTGAAAGCTGCTTTTATCTTTTCACTAATCCATTTACGAACATTTTCAATTCACAAAGATGATCTACTAGACTAATAGCATCTCTATTTTGGATGAACAAATCTCTCAGTAGTACTGGAATCGAGAACATTAGTAGAAATAAAGATATGTTAGAAGAAGATAAATGCTCGAAGATGTTCAGATGTTGAAATTTTTTGTTTAATTATCAACAATATTCAAATCTGGTGAGTAAATTCATTCTAACTGCGTAGAGCTACATTAATAAAGAAAGAGAATAGTTGTTTTATCGAATATTTTTGTTATTTTTATATAGTTTTGAAAGAATTTTTAAGGGAAGTGAAATTTAGAGCTTATTACTTCTATTCCATCGGATTTGAGAAAATTTTTTTTTTTATCAGAGTTATACGTTATTGAAGATTAAAATATTACAGTTTGTATTTTGAGTATTGAATATTTCTATTATCTTTCGAACTATCTCTTCTCTCGATGAATACACGTATATATTTATTGTAAATATGACTTGTGGTTTTTGTTATTTTTATTGTCCAGCCTAAATCGTATTTTCTTTCTTTTTCTCGTGCTATCTATTGATATGTAAATTTTAGGCAAACTTTGTATTTTATTAAAATGACCTTGTTCTCAAGTTATACGTATATATATCATATAAATGCATATTTCTTTTTACCTTTTTATTAATACTCAGTAGTTGTGGTCACTCTACAGAAAGAAAGAGAGGGAGAGAGCGACCGAAAGTCAAAAAAAGTCAAGAACCGTGACGTGCTCTAACTACTAAAAATGTACTCTCACCATATGTATACACCTGTTTCTTTGGGGACTTTTTATATTTTTTTTTTTCGTTCGTTATTTTAGATCGATATATGATATTAGAGAAAATCTAATAAATAATCAACATTAGAATGTAATAATTTCTCCGTTTATACAGTGCGCAAAAAAAAAAAAAAAAATAAAAGAACAGATATAACTTAATTCGTTCAGCTTTTTTTTTCTTCGTCTGTTTCTCTCTTTTTTGTTTGTTCGTCTTGCCTTAGAAAAGGTAAAATATATTTTTTCTAAACTATCATATAACTGTACGAATATTATATCAATAAATGAATATTATCATAATTTTAATATAAATATTATTATTCTAAAATGTTGATATGATAGTTGTACAGTCATCATGTGATTTTATTGTATAATATATTCATGATTGTTTTGTTTAATTATCATGTTATTATTTAGGCCTCTATATATTATTTATAATGGGCTGCGCTGGAACGAAAGCCGGCAAAGCTGAAAGTGATTCTGATCATTATCATCAAGAAATATTGAACGCAGCACAAACTGGTGAAGTTCAAAAACTAAAAGATATATTTGATGAATTGGATAAACGTAAAGCTTATTCGACGAAAAAGGAAGTTCTTAATATGGGTAAGAATAACATATTTTTTAACAAATTTTTTAAAAAAACATTTTTTTTATTTTTATTTTTGCTTTTTAATCATTACTAATAGTATAGCTTTATACTAATTATTAAAATTGTTTTACATATTTTTTTATTTTCTTCCAAATTTGACTCATAATTAGAAGAATGAAATAGAAGTAGGATAAACGTTATTTTATACGTTTGGAAAAATACTTTGAATATAGTATATTGAAAGAGGACATTTGAGCTTTGAATGCTTCAATGGTGAGCTTGCACGAATGGTCTTACTATTGGTGATTAGTAATTATTATTAATTTAAACGCTGTGGCATGTTAGTTATTAAATATTTGTCTATTTTCACCTAACTATGATCATAGGTGATTGGCATTGGTCTTATCTTTGTTTTATTTATTCCATTTTACATTTATACGGAAAAGTTAACATTACCTTTGCCTCTATTACCTTCTATTGAACGAAAAACAATAATTATTTATCCTAATAAACCAACAACAGAGAAAAATATATTAAAAATGATTTTTGACTTAAGAATTAAACATTTAAAAGTTACAACAACAGTATCAAATCAACAGTTAATACAAAAAATGAAGAAAAATAGAAATAAGAATGGTGCAATGAAAAATAAACCACATAATCGACATATTAATCAACTTAAAACACCATGGACAGATTATTTGTTAAATTCGACTAACAATTTGACTAAAAATGAAATATTACCAGAATATCCTCGACCACAAATGAAACGTCAAAAATGGACAAATTTAAATGGTTTATGGTCATTTACGATGACATATCGAAATATGACTATTAAAAATCGAACAATTAATGTTAAAATAATATTTAATGAAACAATTCGTGTACCATTTCCTGTTGAATCGTATCTATCTGGTATTAATCGTCGAGTATTACCTACTCACTATCTTTGGTATCAACGTCGATTACAAATTTCACGTGATCAATTAGGAAAATTGAATCGTCTTCTTCTACATTTCGATTCGGTTGATTATGAAACATATGTATGGATTAATCGAATTTTTGTAGGTAAACATCGTGGAGGTTATCAACCATTTCATTTCGATATTACAGAATATTTACAGACAGCTATTAGAGATCGATTTAATTATTATCAACAAGAATTAATCGTTCGAGTATGGGATCCAACTGATAAAAGTTATCAATCACGTGGTAAACAAGTATTAAATTCATCGACAAACAGTATCTATTATACTCCTATATCGGGTATATGGCAAACAGTATGGTTAGAATCCGTTCCACTCGTTTATATTTCAAAATTATGGTTTCAATCGACTATTGATCATAAAAATATGAGTATACTTCATCATAGAATTGACATAAATATTAAAAATAGAAAATTAGAAAAATTTATTACATATATTCCACCATCATTTATAATTGATTTATCTTATAATGAATTTGATGATAGTTCTTCATCATTAAATCAACTTCTTGATGTTGAACGAAAAAATCCGGAGAAAAAAGATTCAACAGTATTTCGTTCATCTGTAAAAATTCTAAAAACTACACGATATGTTATTAAATTAACATTAAAACTTGATAAAAATATAATAATTGAAAAATCAAATATTGTACCAAATGTAGAACAAAAAATTGTATTTGATAAAAATATCATTAAATTATGGTCACCTGAATCTCCAAATTTGTATGATATTACTATTGATCTTTATGAGCATACTCCGATAACTACGACTAAAGTGTTTAAAAATATTGCTAGACGTGGATGGCCTTATTTAAATAAAATTGTTTCTAGTACAAATAATTATCCAAAATTAAAAAATTTAGATAAAGTAGATAGTTATATTGGTTTTCGATCCATTAATTTATGTGGTAATTCTATAAAAGAGATATGTTTAAATAATGAAAAATATTTTATGTTGGGTGTACTTGATCAAGGTTATTGGCCAGATGGTCTCTATCGTGCTCCTACAGATTCAGCTTTAAAATATGATATTTTTAAAATGAAATCACTTGGTTTTAATACTATTCGTAAACATATGAAAATTGAAAGTAGTCGTTGGTATTATTGGTGTGATGTTATGGGAATGTTGGTATGGCAAGATATGCCCGCTTCAGATTCTTATTATGGATACGAAGTTGAATTAATAGAAGATGAAAGATTGAGAATAATACGAGATAATGTGACAAATAATATTAAATTTGATTATCTGTCTAATCCATCAAGAAATCTAACTTTTATTCAATTTTCTCAAATAAACAATTCTCTCATATTCACACCAGAATCTATAGTTGGTCGTCAGACAGGTAGTCAGAGAAGTTTAAAATCAAAACTTCAATTTGAATATGAATTAAAATCAATGATTGATACACTCTATAATCATCCATCAATTGTTATGTGGGTATTATTCAATGAAGAATGGGGTCAATATGATACATTAAGGTTAGGTCAATGGCTTAAATATTACTCTGGTGAATATCGTTTAATAAATGCTGTTAGTGGTTGGCAAGATCGATCTGTAGGTGATATTCGAGATATTCACGATTATACAGCACAAATAGAACTACCGTCAGAAAACACATATGATAGAACTAATCGTGCATTGGTTCTAGGCGAATGTGGTGGTTATGGTTTACTTGTGTCTCGTAATCATACATGGAAATTTCATGACAGTGAAGGATGGAGTTATGCAAAGTTTAAAGATAAATATTTAATGACATACGGATTTGAACGATTAATGATGCAGATAAACAGTTTAAAACATCATTCATATTTGTCATCAATGATATATACGCAATTGTCTGATGTTGAATATGAATTAAACGGTATGCTTACATATGATAGAAAAGTATCAAAATATGTTCAAAATCATATTAGAAATGCTTTAAAATTTAATTTTACGAGTATTTATCATATGCATATAGTTTTTAGTGGAATATATAATGATACATTATGGAATTATTCATATGATGATATGAATAGTAAAACACAAATAAAGACATCTCCATTTAAAAGTTTTACAAATATTTGGATAACTAGAAAATTTAAACTCGATCCATCTGTATTTACTACATATAAACATCATTATTATTATTTATATATGAGTTATTCTTTTTGTTATGTAAATATTACAATTGATAATCGATATAAAATAGATTTGAATGAGTCATCAAATAATTATGCTTTTATACCGTTAAGCGATACTATTCAAAATGTATTTAAATCGAATCTTAATCGTACATATACGATTGATGTACATGCTTCATATTATCTTGGAAATATTCGTTCAATTAGTTCAATTGATTATATTGATGAAGATTCTTATATAAAGATGACTTATTTAGATGTTGGACTCGCTTTTATGACTTGAGAATACCTGTTTTTTGTTGTTATTTTATTGTTATGATCAAAATGGTTTTTGAAAAAAAATTTTGTACTGGTACAAACGATGAGTGTTAGATTTAGAAGTTTTTCTCGACGAAATTTCGGCACTTTGATCGATTTCTTACGAACATTTTGATCTTACTTTGATCTTTCTTGGAGAAGAGTATTTTTTTTTTCTGCTTATCCAATGGTGATACTCTCTTTATATTTGTTTTATCTATTGCACAATTATTCAGTTAAAAATGAGTATATCTCTTCACAAAGACAGGCAGACAGATAAAAAGTCCGGAAGTTGTACGAATTTACAATATTTATGAACCGAAACAGTAAAATCTCATCTTTCAATTTTATGCTGTTCATTTTTAAAAGACATCTGAATGAAGACTCTCAAAGCAAACAAAAAAACAAAATCCATAAAAACCGCAGCTTCTTGGACTTTATTAATATGTCAAAAAGAAAAACTTAACAAACTAATATCGAGCAATCAAATGTGAGAATATATCCACTAGTTTAAGCAATTGATAATTTATGAATGTTTTAATATTTTCGTTTCTGCCACATGTGTGTACAAAAATTCTGATATAGTTAGTATACGAGAGCAAATATATTTAAGTTTAAAAATGAATCATCGTACAAGAACGTTCTTATAGTTTATTGTTTGTATTATAATACTTATTCGCTGCACGCGCTTGCTCTCTGTTTGACTTAATGTTCATTACCATATTTATTCATAATTATTATTTATTATCATTTGTCTTTTTGTCTGTATTTTAGGATATAGAGATGCAGATGATTTAACAGCATTAAGTATAGCAGCGGGAAAAAAACATAAATCAATTACAGAAATATTAGCAAGTATGTAGTATAATATTTTTTTAAATATCTATCCTTAGCTATTACTTTATAAAATACCGTATATTTCGACAGGAATTCGTCGTTGAAACCAAACTTAAAATGGCTAGGTAATCTCTAGATTAAAAAAGAGAGATTAAAAAGACCAAAACAGGAATGATGCAATAGCACGAGATTTCTTGTTATTAGTTTGTTAGTAGTAGTATTTAGTCTCGATTTTTATTTAAGAATATGCTTTGTTAACTGTTCATTAATTAATTTCTAAAATAATCAAATTAAATTGTTTTCTTTTCTCTATTTAGATTGTGAAGAAGTTGATGTTAATAAACCTTCATCATCTGGTATTACTCCTCTATTAATGGTCGCTGAAGTCGGTTGGCCAGATATATTACAAATATTATTAAAACGTGGTGCTATTGTTGATGCAGCTCCATCTGGTCCAAAAGCCGAACTAAATAAAATAGCTGGTAGCACACCGTTGATAGGTGCAACAAAATATGATCATCCAGATTGTGTCAAAATTCTTTTACAAAATAAAGCTAATGCAAATCATCAAAATCAAAGTGGAATTAGTGCATTGATGTTAGCAGCTGAACAAGGCTACTTTGAATGTGTTAAACTATTAGTAGAATTTGGAGCTAATCTTGAACTAGCACCAAGTGGTATGTTTTTCATTATTATTAATCATTCTTTAGACAAAAAATTTTCTCTAATAAAATGTTCATAATGTATTGTACTTTCTTCGTTTTTATTAGGACAAATAGCGTTGAATATGAATTTATGTGGTCAAACACCTTTGTTCTGTGCGGCTAAAGAAGGTCGACAAGAGATTGTGAAATATTTAATAGATCAAAGTTAGTTCTACGTTTTATTGAGTACAATGGATACAATTTAATGTCTTTATTATTTGTAGAAGCTAATCCTCGCGTTCAAAATCATTATGGTGTTAGTGCTCTATGGATACCTGCTCAAAAAGGAATGTTAGATGTTGTTGAATTACTATTGAATGCTGGAGCTAATACAGAAATAGCACCATTTGGAAATTTAGCGGATGATTTAAATATTACAGGTTGGACACCTTTATATGCAGCAATGAAAGCAAGAAAATTTGATGTATGTAAAATTTTAAATCTATTTATTAGTACCACCATTATTGACGTGTTCAATTATTTTATTTTTTGTTTACATTTTTATATTTATGTGTCTCTGTTTTTTCTAGGTTGTTCAATTATTATTGAGCAAACGTGCCAATCCAAATGCTGTTACTAAATTAGGTTCCACACCATTCTTATTAGCATCAGAAATATGTGATTTAGAAATTATTGCAGCATGTGTGGAAGCCGGAGCCGATTTAGATTTTGCACCATCAGGAAGAGATGCCGATAATTTAAATATAACTGGGCAGACAGCTCTATTTATGGCTACACTCAAAGAACGATCTGATGTTGTGAAATATTTGATATCAAAAGGGGCTAAAGTCGATGTTAAAAATAGGTTAGTTGTAAAGAATATCTATTTTTCATAAAAAACATAAAAGAAAACTTCTTACTATATGAAGAAGTCTGAATCAATTATCTATTTCCTTTTAAAAATAATCTTTGATTTGACAAGAGTAGTATCTAATTAAACAGCTAATCAGTTTTTTAGTTTTACGATTAGACTGAATTGTCTCACAATTTATTAGCTCAATGTCATATTACAATCAGAAGTAGAAAGGAGTATCTATTTTATTTCAGATACGGTGTGAGTCCATTATTATTATGTGCTGAAGGTGGAAATAAAGAGTTAGTTCAAGTATTAGTCCAGGCTGGAGCAAATGTTAATATAACACCAACCGGCGATTTAGCTGAAGAAAATTTTCTAGCAGGACAAGTACGTTAAATATGTATAAAATAAATGATTTATACATTATACATTATTAAAAAATATATGTTAAAAATAAGTAGAATATTTTCCTACAATAATAGTCAACAAATATTGAAGATGCTTTTTTAACGTATCAGTCATTTTTTTTTAAGAAATGTTTACTTTTATTACATTGTGTACTGTTTATTTATTTAAGACTCCACTATCTGGTGCAGCTAAAAAAGGTCATACTGAAATATGTGAATATTTAATAAAAAATGGCGCGAATGTTAATGCAGTAACAATGGTAAGAATAAAGTTAGGTTTTTAATCAATTATGAAGTGACAATGTAATCGATCTGTCGATATGTAAAATTTGACAGCCACTACCCAAGTAGAAAAAAAATATCGAGGCAATCTAGCTACCTAACTCAATATACTACCCGATACAGCTAGCTAGCAATTCGAATTAGGTTATTTTTACTATCGAGCGATATAGCTAACTAACACGATACATTACTAGATATAGCTAGCTAGCCCAATATATTACTCGATATATCGACGGTCGGATTACTCACGTTTTTGTTTTGCAGCTACTGTACTATATATGTGAAACATATACTTCACAAATTTACAAAGTATTTATTGATATCAACTCAATATATTGAGCAATAATAGACCAATATATTGAGGAATATTGCTTTCTGTAAATATATTACAGAAAGCAGGATGTCTGTATACAGACATTCCAGGATACACTGTAGACAGCATCATTCATGCTGTCAATACGTGAGTCAAGATATCGGGCAATAATTGGTCAATATATCTAATTTCATAGTTAGTGGCACAGTGGTATCAAATACTGTCCACAACATATCGGGTGATAATTGATCAATATATCGACTAAATAGCTTACTCTGATCAGTGTTTTTTGTCAACCCGATATATCAGGTACGATATCTAGTTGCTAGGTTAGCTATAACTAGCTAACTCAATAAAAGTAGTACGGATAGCTAGTTATCACAAGCCGATATTGTCCGACAACACATTTTTATATCTAGATATTCTCAAAGGCATTTTTTTGCTTGGGTACTATTTATATTCGAAGAAACTACCATTATTTTAAATTTATCAGCAATAAAAAGTCGCCGTTTAGCTTTCAATATTTTCTGCTATTGTCATTCTTTAGTGTATACTTTTAAAAACGACTGGTTATATTAACATTGTTTCGTTTTAGATTGGTGCAACTCCATTGTACACTGCCACCGAAGAAGGTCATTTTGAAGTTGTTGAATTATTAGTTCGTAATGGAGCAGATATAAATCTTTCACCACAAGGCACTGTTGCAAAAGAGTTAAGAATTGAAAATCAAACACCACTATTGATTGCTTGTATGAAAAATTTTGAAAATATAATTAAATTTCTTATTGAAAATGGAGCCAATGTTAATGTTACATCAGACAGAGGATCATCACCATTTTTAGGTTAGAAGAATATCGAATTATGAACGATCATTTTTATAGTATCGTGATCAAATTTAATTAATAATTATTGTTTTATTCTAGCTATTTGTCAACATAATAATGTTGATTTAGCTACGCTATTGATTAAACATGGTGCTCGTTATGATGTTGAAGCCTATAATTTATATGATGGAAAAATAAATGGACTTATTGTGGCAGCCGAATCTGGATCATTTGATATTTTGAAATTATTAGTAGAAAATGGTTTAGATGTTAATTATAAAATTGAAGGAAAAGTAGGTTTTTAGAATTTTTATTTTATTCTTAAAATACTATTTAACTTTGATTTTATTTATTATTTGTAGGGTGAAACAGCTGGACGTACACCATTATTTTGTGCATGTGCCAAAGGCTATCAAAATATTGTACAATATTTAATTCAAAAAGGAGCGGATGTCAATGGAACAGAGAAGGTAAACATTTTAATAAATAAAATAATAAAAATGTTTAACTAAAATAATTATTTTAATATGATAAGATTTTATTTCATTCAAACTGACTTTATAATATTTTTATTAATATTTTAATAATATTTATTTTCTAGAGTGGTTTATCTTGTTTACATATTGCATCGGCAATGGATCATGGTGAAACTGTTCGTATTTTATGTGAAAATGGTGCAAACATCGATCAACAATTTTATTTAGAAGATCAAGAGTGGACTGCCTATGATTTAGCTGAATATCAACAGCATGAGAATGTATGCAATGTTCTTAGAGAATATGGATGTAGACAATCGATAGAAGGAAGTGGAAGAGGATCACTTTCGCCAGCAAAATAAAAATAACAGTTATATTGATAGAACATTTTTTTTTTCTTCTTCTTTAGTTTAAAATATATATGTATGTGTGTATGTTATAATTTTTTTTTTTTTTTTTTTTTTTTTTTTTTTTTTTTTTTTTAATTTTTTATTTTATTTTTTTTTTAATTTTAAAATAAAATTAACATTTTTTTTTTTTTTTTACACATTACAAAAAAAAAAACCCCCCCCCCC